TTCGAAGGCACACTCATATCGGCTTGATAGTAAGACTCGCGGCGATGCACGCCATTGCCATTGGATTTAACGCAGGGCGCACGCAAGTGTTCATAAACCCAATGGGCGACACGATTGCGACGATCGTAAGAGAGTATAAAATCCGAATAGACGCGTATGTCATCCAAGCCGGGAAAACCGTATTTCATGATCTGTGACATGCGTGAACTTGAGCCATCTAGTTGGTCCAAGCAGTATGGATTGAAAAGTTGCAACTGAGGGAAGGTATAGTACGTAGTATTAGTAAAATTATGAAGTGTGTAGTGCAGTGTCGTCCTGACAAACCGTGTCATATAATTTTTCGCGTATGTAGAAAGCGTATGGATCCTCTTGTATGAGCCTGTGGACTTTGTTCAAGAAATCATGGTGTTGATAGTAGGCGCCCAATATGAAAAAGCTGCTACCGGTAAGTACCAAAAGCGTTAAATCTACACTAACTAATGGCATTTGGGCACTTTTTATCTGCTATTACTTAAAAAATTTAAAAATTTTGTAAATTTAAAATTTTTAAACGAGTTTTTTAATTTTGACAAACCGTGGAAAAACGCCAATATGGATAATGTCATTGTAAAGTGTTGGACAACTGAATAATCCAGTGTGTTATATTAGTAATATTCATGAAAACTCGAAAAAGTATAAATGGGTAAATGTGTACTTTAACGCAGGCTGCTATAGAAACGCAGCCGGATTTTCGGTGTTAATATTAGGTCCAATCCCGTATTCCTCGGACTAAAAGTAGTAGAACTGTCAAAAAATAAAAATCGCTCAGAGCGAGAGAGTAAACTGAAAAGTACGGGTTCGCTTCTAGTAAAAAATGTTAATTTCTGACTATTATTTATTTATTTATTTATTACGGCTCAAAGCCTAATTCAAAATACAATTTACACTATCCTATCTTAAAGGTAAAGTTTTACAAAATTCATATAATTTTGCCTTAAAAACTAAGATTTCATTGCAGATTTTAATTTCCAATGGGAGCTCGTTGTAGCCTTTTAGGCCTTTGTAG